CAATATTAAGCCAATCTTCTAAAGTGACACACAACACCATGGCCCTACATCTTAGAACCAAGGAAACAAATTCCAAGAGGTGCTTGTTTATACATAAGCAGCATCACTAACTGCTTTTTATGTGCCTCAGCAGCAGCTAACTTCTTCAGTACTTCAGATTGTGTATTATTAATATAAACACAGTAATATTCATCTGTTGTTCTTATTGTTAGGTGCCGTCGAGTCATTTCCGACTGATAGCGACTCTATAGGACAGAGTAGAACTGCCCCATAGAGTTTCCAAGGAGCAGCTGGTGGATTTCAACTGCGGATCTTTTGGTTATCAGCCAAGCTCTTAACCACTATGCCATCAGGGCTCCATCTATTAAGTCACAAATAACTCCTTGGGAGACTAACAGAAAATCTAATGTTATCCTATTTTGTACAATCATAGCTCAAACTTCAGATACTACCCTACTTATGGTCTTTACAACTTTGCCATGTTTATCAACAGAAATTTCTAATTTGACAGTTACAATATCTAAACCTATTTAAAGTCTGATGATTTCCTTTAATGCAGGAATCAGCTTTTCCAGTAACTAATATCAATATGCTTACTATAATACATTTCCTTCTCTCATCACCACTTGTTATGAGTTTGAAGGATCTGGAGGCCGATCAAGGAAAAAAGATATGGCCACTAGATGTCAGTGATGTAAATCAACCTATTTATTGGGATGACACTTTGAAAAGTGAGCATGTAGGGAAATCTCTCATAACATTAGATTTGCAAGGTGTACAATGCAGGGAACTGCCAGAAAGTCAGGAGTGTTAGGGAACTCCTGGAGGTTAGGGGAAAAGGAGAAGGTACTTATGTGTTTAGATGAAGTCACTCAGAAGCACATCAAGAGTCTCAGAGTCAGAGAGCTCCAAAGGACAGGAGTGGGTTGGGGTCCAAATAATGGAGAGTTATTGTATGTTCATGGATATGAAGATTCAATATTATTAAGATTTAAGTTCTTCCCAACGGGATCTATAGAATCAATGCAATCTCATACCAAATCCCAGAAGGTTTTTTTTGTCGCTACTCTCATCTAATAACACCACATCCAATAACCTTTTGTAGGACAGAGTAAAAGTGTCCTATAAGGATTCCAAGGCTGTAAATCTTTACAGAAGCAGAGTGCCACATTTTTCTCCTGTGGAGCGACAGGTGAGTTCTAAAAATCAACTTTTTGTTTAGCTGCTGAGTGCTTTAATCGCTGTGCTACGAGGGCTCAAGCTTCCAACATACTTACACTAAAATTTATACATAAAGGCAAAAAAAAAAAAAAAAAGACCCAGAGTAATCAACACAAAGCTGAAAAAGAACAAAGTTAGAGGACTGACAATATCCAACTTTGAGGCTTACTATAATGCTACTTTGATTAAGACAGTATGGTATTGCTGAAAGAATAAATAAATAGATTATGGAAAAGTATAGATATGCCAGAAAAAAATCCACACCAATACAAATTTAGTCAACTGATCTTTGACAAAGACTAAAAATAAATTTAATGGAAATTAGGATAGTCTTTACAACAAATGGTGCTGGAAGAACTGGACATCCATATGCAAGAAGAAGAATTCAAAAAAGGTGAACAAGAAGAAGAATCATCTAGACATAGACCTTATACCTTTCTCAAAAATTAACTCCAAATTTCATCTCAGACCTAAATGTTCAATGCAAAACTTTACAACTTCTAGAATATAACATTTGAGAAAAGCTAGGTGACCTTGGCCTTGTCAATGAGTTTTAGATACCATATCAAAAGCATGATCCAGGAAAGAAAAAACAAACAAAAAAACAATACTATGGACTAAATTAAAATTAAAAGCATTGGATTTATGTTAGGCACTGTTAAGGGAACAAATAGACAAGCCAAAGACTGGGAGAAAATATTTGTCAAACGTATATCTGGTAAAGAGCTTGTATCCAACATAAAGAAAGCACTCTTAAAATTCAATAACAAAAAAGAACACTCAAGTTACAAAACAGGCAAGAGATATGAACAGATACCACACCAAAAAGATATACATTTAGCAAGCAAAAGCTCTCCTCATCACATAATTCAAGAGTACATATTATGAAAATGACTTAATTCTGTTGATGTTGAACTTGATCTCCTAGTTTAGATAGGAGTTTCCAGTTTTCTCCATTGTAAAGTTACTTTTTCACCCTCTTACCATAATATAGTCTTTGGAAACAAATCCCTATGAACAACCCACAAGGTAAAAGTGAAGAATTATGCTCCATTTTCTTGAGAGGCAAATATCTTCATAACTGATGTGGAAATACTCTGCACAGGAGATTTTTCTCTTCAATCAAATATATTAATTAATCAGGTAATATTAGCAAAGATTTTGAACAGTTATTTTAATCTTTGGGTTATAAGCTAATACTACTACATTTATTTTTGTGCTTAAATTGTTCCATCTTTGGACATTAAGATCTCTTTCAATTAGCTCCTTTGTTCCTTTGACATGCCTACATCAATGTGAGTTTTTTTTTTTTTATTGTTTTGTTTTGTATTTGAGAAGATCCTTACTTCTGGTAAATAAGGTGACAGAGGGTCATTATGCATATTCTCTGCCCAGCCCTGGAATCAGCCATTTCTCAAAAAAAATCATGCTCCTTTTACTGTAAAATGGAATTAGGAAACAACATATGAGTGCTATTTGTACTCATTGCTACTGGGGTGTCACTCCTTCTAGTCCCCCTCAACTGACAGAACAAGGGAATATATATGTGTATACAAAATCATGCAAATGTAAATATCTATAAATATTTCTATATCTTACCGTTTATATCTGTATTAAGATAAGCATGAGTTCATACTGATGTCTCCAACTGTAATTCATTATCCTTTGGATCGATTTAGTCTCTTTGCCTTCTTATGATTAACTCTTATGCCATCCATGAGAAATCTGGCTTAAAGTTAATAAATCTTATGTTATATGACAAGTAAGAGAATAAGAGTGGGAATAAAACAAAGATAATTGATACACACACTTCCACTATTATCTCACACACATTTTTACCAAAATAATGGAGGAATACTCATAACAATTATAGTCCTCATTCATACAACAGGTTAAGTTGTCTTAGCTGATATTTAGAAGCATAGTACTTTCCTCAGCTAGCCATTCCATGTTCTCTTTGTCCTCCACAACCACTTCAGCTGGTCTTGCTTCTTTACCTAGTGGGGTGACCTAAATCTTCATTCTTGAAATGTTTGTCATTAGGAGTTCTGCCTGAACTAGATTATTGTAGTTTTCTATTGACTTTAATTACAAGGCATGGTAATACTAAGAAATGCCCTAAGGGACCTCCTGTATTCCAGATGTACTCTTCCTTACTTCCAATATATAATAACAGTCCAATTTCCCCTTGGTAATTTGAGTAAATCCCTTCTTTTTCTGTTGATTCAGAGGTATGAGGAGGCCAAAGTGACTGGGTGGCATTCTTAACTCCCAGCTGAGTGGGATCATTGTTATGTCTCCTGGTAGGTGTATTCCTCCCTTTGGAACTAAGACCTATAGACCAGCAGAGCATACAGTTGCTGGGACAGGAAGCAAAATTATTGTGAGTGAATCACTAATGGTAATAGTGAGTGACACCACTCCCATTTTCACCCTTTGATTTGTGGTTCTGTGAATGTTGGCTATGGAATAAAAAGCACCATATATTGGATGTTGACAGAGAGAATATACAGCCTCCTGGAGAACGTAACCTCAGACCTATAACATATTGCCACATAACTGCATGTAATTGAGTCTTAAAAAGACCATTCTGCCATCCTATCATGCCAGCTGTCTCAGGATGATGATAAACATGGTTAGACCAGTGAATTCCATGAACATGGACCCGTTGTTGCACTTCATTTGCTGTAAAGTAGGTTCCTTGATCAGAGTCAATATTATGTGGAATATCATGATGGTAGGTAAGACATTCCGTAAGTCCACACATTGTAGTTTTAGCAGAAACACTGCATTCAGGGAAGGCAAATCCACCTCCAGAGTAAGTATCTATTTCATTAATGAAAAACCAAACCTGCTGTTTCTTACATTATGGGAATATTCCCTTGGACTCTCCAAGAATAGGTAGCTGGGTCTTACATGATAAATCAAAGTTAATATTATTGAATTCTAATTTAATTTCATTGTGATTCAAAACTTCTTACCTTAAATTTCATAAGGTATGCTTTATGACTCCGAATATACTGTATCTTTATAAATGCTACACAGGAGTAAAATGTGTTTCCACAACAATTCATTAATTCTCCCTAAATCAACTGAATCCTACTTTAAAAAAAAAATTGTTGATGTGCAGAGAATCACTTTGCCTCAATTCCCAAAATACTACTTGTCCTATAGGCTGTAATTTTGAAAATCTTTTCAAATTCTTTACACACTCCTGTCCTGATGACTTTAAGAAACTTTGATTTTCCTGGATATATGAACAGAAACTTGTCCTGAGATCACTAGAAAGACAGCGAAATCACACACACAGGAGACGCCTCCTGCAAACACACAAGAGAGTAGGGGAATCTTTGCCCACTTAGTCATATGGTTGGGGCTTGGGTCACTTTCCTCAGACATATCTTTCTTCCACATATATATAGTGACCAGAAGGTCAAGACCACGGGATAGATCATACTCCAAAATCATCCAGAACTCTGTGTCCATATCTTCAGAGGTACTCCCCAACACAAACTGAAGACAATCAACACCAGTGCTGGAAGGTTCCCACTTCCTCTGGAAAATACAACTTTTTTGTACACAGGGCAGAAATAACTCTCTCCCAGGACCAGAGAAATAGGGGAAGACCTGCATAAAGCGGTGGTCCCATAAACCCAAGTCCTCTCCTCTTCCTGTTGCACTCTTGTAGCTGCGGGGCTGCCCACATGCAAATGTATCTTTCAGTCAATGAAGGAGGAAGGGCTTTAAGTCTGGGCAACCAAGTATAATTTCTCATTCTGGGCTGGGGTTTCTGAGAAAGAAAGAATCCCCCAAGAGGAAAACATGACGTGGCTTTGTCTCCTCCTCTGCCTGGTCGCTGCAGCCCCAGGTGAGTTTTTCCAGAATTTCAGAAATGATGCTGTGGTCTGTGGTGTCTGGTTGTGACTGACTGTGGTCTTCCTTCTTCCAAGGTGTCCTGTCCCAGGTGCAGCTGCAAGAGTCAGGCCCAGGACTGGTGAATCCCTCACAGACCCTCTCCCTCACCTGTGCTGTCTCTGGAGTCTCCATCACAAGTAGCTATAACTACTGGTCCTGGATCCGCCAATCCACAGAGAAGGGGCTTCAGTGGATTGGGTATATAGGTTATAGTGGTAGCACTAACTACAACCCATCCCTCAAGAGCCGCAGCTCCATTTCCAGAGACACATCCAAGAATGAGTTTTCCCTACAGCTGAGCTCTGTGACCACTGACGACACGGCTGTATATTACTGTGCAAGAGGCACAGTGAAAGGAAGTCAGTAGGATCTCAGACACAAACCTTTCCTCAGGGTGGCAGGAAGTAGCTGGGCTGCAGTGAGAACTCAGAACCCACTGAGATCAACAAACCAGCCCCAGAAACAGGGACAGTGTTTGAAGATGAAGGAAGAGGGATTTTTTGGGCGGGGGCTTTGCTCTCTGATCTTTGTTTCTCTTCTATAAGCAAATGGCTTCCCCTGGCACTGTCTCCTTCTTCCTGTCTTCATGTCTATTTCTTGCAAATACAAAAGAAAGTAAACAAACAAAAAATGTTCTGTTTTCCTTCCAAGGAACACAGAGGGAAAATCAAATATCTAGTTAGGATCTAGTATTCAGAATATAAAAAGAACTCTAAAAACTCAGCAATAAGGCAAATAATCAAGTTGAAAGGATTTAACCAATGTTTCTCCAAAGGACATTTACAAATGGCCAGTAAGCACATGAAAGATGTTCAACTTTACTAGTCATTTCAAAAAAATGAAAAACAATCTTGTTGACATCAAGTCAATTCTTACTCATAGTTATCCTATAGGACAAAGTAGATCTGCTTCATACGGTTTCCAAGGAACAGCTGGTGGATTCAAACAGCTGACTTTTTGGTTAGCAGACAAGTTCATAACCACTATGCCACCAGGACTCCTATTAGTCATTATGGTAAAGCAAATCAAAAATCACAATGAGATACACTTTTGCAGCTACTAGAATGGCTATTACAAAAGATTGTAAAATTATGAGTATTGTTAAGATTATGGAGAAATTGCAGCCCTCATTTTTTTTTCTTTTCTTTTTTTGCTGGTGGGAAAATAAAATGAAGCCCCCTTGGAAAACAGTTTGGTTTCTCCTCAAAATTTAAACATAGAATAACCATATGACTGAGAAATTCCATTCTGGGTGTATACTCAAAATAATTGAAAGCAGGGACTCAAACAGATACTTGTAAACAAAAGTTTAATGCATTATTATTCACAATAGCTAAAAGGTGAAAACAACCCAATTGACAATTAACAGGTGACTTGATAAACAAAATGTCCTATATGCATACAATGGAATATCATTGAATCACAAAAATGATTGAAGTTATTATACATGCTATAAAATAGATAAACCACGAAAACATGCTAAATGAAATAAGCCAGACAGAAAGTGACAGATATTGTATGATCTCACTTACCTGGAAGATTTAAAATAGGCAAATTCATGGAAACAGAAAGTGATTCATGGTTATCACTAGTTGGAGGTTAGGTAAGATGTCTTTGGTTCTTAATGGGTAAAGTGATTCTGAAAGGGCTGATGAAACATTTTGGAAATAGTGGTGATGGTTGTGGAATATTGTGAAAATAAGCAGTGATACCTAAGTGTACATAAAAAAAATTGTTAAAAATGTAATTTTATCCTATATCTATTAACCACAGTAAAAATAAAGCAATAACAGCAACAAATTCACAAGGCTTCCAGGTTAATTACACTGTATGTGCAGGGAATTTCCCTGTGTCTAATGGTAGCAATTACAAATTGCCTTTCTTCTTAAAACTAACTTATTTTAACGAAATGCACTTATATAATAGGAGTCCCACAACACTTCATTCATTTTCCTTCAAGTAGAAACAATCCTACTTTAGAAAACATACTGACCTTCGCGAATCATTTTTGTCTCCATTCCAACAGTAGTACGTAGTATCGTGTGTGCTGTGATTGTGAAAGTCTTTGAGTAATTCTTTATCAGCTTCCGTCCTGGTGAATTTAGGAAACTTTGATATTTCCAAATATGTGAAAAGAACCTTGTCCTGAGGTCACAGTAGCAGACAGAGGCATCTCACAGACTAGGGCACCTCCCACCGCCACACAGAAGCAGAGGAGAATCACTGGGTGGGGCTTGGGCAGAGCCCTCAAACATGGCTGCCTTCCATGTGTGTGGTAATCAGATAGCACACAGGGAACACATGATTCTCCAAAATCATCCGGAACTGTGTTTCTGCATAGATACTCCCCATGACAAATAGGACAATCAACCGCACTGCTGAAAGATTCTCATTTCTTCTGTACTATCCATTCTCTTCTTACAGGGGACACAAATCAATTTCCTTTCTGTCAGGACCAGAGAAACGGGTGGAAGGGCTTCATGAAGATATGGTCCTTGCATTCTGTGTTCCTCCCTCACCCTGTTCCCCTCTTGTAGCTGCAGGGCTTCCCACGTGCAAATATCTCTCCAGCCATGGAGGGAGAAACAGGCCTTAAGCTTTAGCAGGTCGGTGTGATTTCTCTGAGAAAGACTGGAACCCCAGGAGAAAAACATGACAAGTGGCTGTATCTCATCCTCTGCCTGGTGGTTGCAGCCCAGGTAAGATTTCCCAAGATTTCAGAGAAGTGACCATGGGCTGATGTGTCTGTTCGTGACTCACTGTAGTTCTCTTTATCCCCAGGGATCCTGTCCCAGGTGCAGCTGCAAGTGTCAGGCCAAGGAATGTCGAAGTCCTTGCAGACCCTCTCCCTCTCATGTTCTGTCTCTGAGTTCTGCATCACAACCAGTGGTCACTATTGGAGTTGGATCCACCAGCCCATGGAGAAAGGGCTGGAGTGGGTTGATTATATATGTTATGATGGGAACACTTACTACAACCCATCCTTCAAGAACTGCTGTTCCATCTATAGAGACACAGCCCCAAACCAGTTTTCCCTGCAACTGAGCTCCATGACTGCGGAGGAAATAGCCATGTATTTCTGTGCAAGATGCACACAGTGAGAGGAAGACAATGTAAACCCAGACATAAACCTCCCCTATAAGGAGCAGGCTGGTCTACAAGGGGGTGCTCAGGACCTTAAAGCATAGGGGCCAGGCTTCAGATGCAGGGCACAAGTATTTAAAATTCAAAGGAAGAGGGTTTTATTTTCTTGTCTTTTTTTTTTTTTCCTTTCATTTTTCCAACCTGATCTTTGTTGTTCCCCTCTAAAAGCAAATGGTTTTCCCTGGGATTCTCTCCACCTTTCTGCCTTTATCTCTCCTATTTCTCTTATTTAAAAACTTGGTTTCCTGTTAAAGACTACAGAATAGAAGGATGAAAAAATAGTAAATTTACACTGGAGATACAGCACTGACATTACCTCAACTAGGTAACTGGGATCAACAGTGATAAGACATACTGATATAGAACCCTTGATATGATATAATGAGAAAGGCATTTACCTCTGTGACCTTATGCCCAAGAAACCATCACCTCAATCTAATTATGAAAAATACTTCAGAAAACACTCAAAAGTGGGGCATTCTACAAAATATCAGTTATCAAAGAGTATCATCAAAAACAAGGAAAATCTGAGAAATTATCATAGCCAAGAAGAACCTAAGAAGACATGAAATCAATAGTAACATTGTACTGTACGTGACCCTGTAACAGAAAAAGGGAAAACTAATGAAATTTGTATAAAATGTGGACTTTCATTAACAAAAATGGAGTCATCCAGATGGTGGTGTAAGAGGCGTGGTCAACATGGTGGAATAGTTAGACGCTTCCTATATCCATCTTACAACAAAGACCTGGAAAAACAAGTGATTTCATTCTATGTGAACATCTGGCAGCCCTGAAGAAGGCAAGGTTAAGAAATCCGTCTGAGTCATATGGGAGAGGAAGACCATTTAGAAGAGGTGAGGAGGGCTAGAGCCGCTGCTGTGAGAATGCAGATCCACAGCCACGCTGGTCCGCGGTGAAACAGGCAAACAGCTGTGCTGTGCGTGTGCTCGGGAAGCAGTTTCCACATTGGGAGAGACCCAGCAGCAGAGTTCTGCTCGGACACTCCGAACCAGTGAAGAGCAGCTCCCAAGAGGCTAGGATAAGTACATGCGTGCACCAGTTTGCAGCACTAAAAAAAAAAAAAAAAAGCTCACTTGGGAAAAACCTCTCTCCCTTTTACCTCCTACCTCCATGCACTACACCAGATTTGGGAAAAACCTCTCTCCCTTTTATCTCCTCTGTCCGTGCTCTGCAAAGGATTTGGGAAAAACTTCTCTCCCTTTTACCCCCTCCCTCCACTCTTTGCACCGGAAGTCTGCTGGGCCAGAAGTAGAACCCAAAGGTGCCCTGACCCATTCTCCTGGCCTTGGAGAGGGAACAAATAAGCTGCTGTCTTCCCTAGGCCAGGATCACAGGGCTGGCCCAGCTCATTTGCTGGCCACAAGAATCAGAGGTCAGCAGACTCTAAGTGCCTTACACCCCTGTATAGACTTGTGGGGACCCATCTCAACAGCGTTAGCCATCACTGTCACAGTACAACAGGGCAAACATCTGAAGTTTAACTCCAACTGCTTCAGCTGTGAACGGGCAGATATGTGACACTCAAAACAGCCCTGCCCCTTAAGTAGGCACTTTTATCAATCTGCAACAGGGTCTTGAGGACTGGTGGTAGATCCTAAAGTGCCATGTCACCTGCTACAGGAGTTCAAGAAAAAGTGGTGCCCTTGAGTCTTTACAGTCAACAGAGTGGGAAGCTCTTAGCCCGGCTGCAAAAATCACCGATCTACTCACCCTAGAGAATAGGGAAACTCTTTCCTCTCAAACTCTCAGGGGCAGCTGTCAGCCCCCTGCCTGTCTCAGCACGTGATCCCTTACCACAGCCAGAGTCCACTGCCTGCAGCAATCACTCATGCCTCTCTAGGACTGGGGGTGAGAGCCTTCATCACACTCTATGTGACTGACTGCCTGAACACCTGAGCTGATCCCATATAGGAAAATTTAATCGACTCCTGTGTGCACATACTTACTCACAGAACTAACTACCTGGTGACAGGACATTAGAGATCAAAAGGTGTCAAAAATCAAGCAAGTGCACATGGCAGCCTATTTGGGCATATCAAAACAAAACAAAATAAGAAGCTAGGTATAACTAAGCAAACACAAAATAAAATTATAATACATTATTGATGGCTCGGAGACAGCAGTCAATATCAAGTCACATACAGAAGTAGTCCATGATGGCTTCAGCAAGCTCCCAGAATAAAGAATCAATAAATTCTC